CCAGATATATTTAGTTGTTGGCTATATCAGACCGTTTGAATAAAAATAAAAGATGTTGAATAACTGTTTGATTATTGTGTATTTAAAATATTAAGATTTATAGATGATTAGATAGTTGAGGTTTGAATTAGATGTTTTGGATTTGAGTGTTAATTTACGACTGATCTTAGCTATATGAAATTTTAGTTGATACCAAATTATGTAGATTTTATAATTTTATATATTTTTCTGATTGGCCCATTTTGTGGAGTTAAGGACACCCCATTACAATTTTGGAACCAATCAGTGGTTATTACATTTATCAATCGATCAGGTATTGGTTGATAAATTGCATGATACGAAGAATTTAAACTTGATACAGGTAGTGCGAATTTCTTGGAAATATAAGGATTATAGGATGATGTAGTTAGGGACAGGTGATAAAAATTCTAGGAAAAATGGATTACTGAATTTGCGACAGGACGCGTAACAATGAAAGGGTTTATTGTCGCTATCCTGCATGGAGATAATAAAATATTATAATTATACCAGGGTTGGGAGTGACGCGTTAACACTACGTGAACATATTAAATATCGAGTACGTTTCACAATATATTAAACGCACCTGCATAATTAAATGAAACTCGTTTATGATACCATAATGTTGATAAAATTATTCTTAAGCAAGTTGAGCTCGATAATGTCATCAATCATTTTATATATTTATCCTGTTTGTCTAATTCGTAACTAGTTCTCAAATCAATGACACTTTGGAGCAAAGGTTTTCAAACTTTTTACTTCTGAAGTGATAGCTCTACGATTGGATTATTGGAAATAACTGTCGTTAAGTTGGCTTTTGGATTTGAATACTTGTTGAATTGGTCAATCTTGTTTTTAAAAAGTCTTCAATGTATAGCACATTGAGATCATCGTATTTCCAAGTATTTTGGGTTGTGTTTTCTGTACCAATGCTACATTTGACTTGCTAGAGCATCTCCAAAGCTATATCCCATATGACCAAATAGGAGTTATTGTTTTGTAAACTAGGATTTTATATTTAGGTGTTAATTTTGAATTATGTCCTATAAGGTAATACAGTTCCCTAACTCTAGGTTTTATAGACTTAATTTTTGTAGTGATGTGATATTTCCAGGTGAGTCGCCGATCAAAATGTATTTCAAGATATTTTACTACATCTGATGTGAAGTAAGTACATGCATACAGAAATAAGTAAGTACGAAAGTATAAGCAAAAATCAAACATTTAATCATGGGAAGATATATGCATGAGATGACAGTATTAATTGGCAAAGTCCATATCATTTTTGACCATGAAGTACGTGGACAAGCATCTGTATATGAACAAATATTATCAGTATGTTTTATTTCATTTTATTGGCTTTTCAGTAGGCACTGTTAATTACAGATATTCATTCTATGCATGAAAACCCAAATAGTTGTCCTATCTCTGTGATGAATTTATTATTAAAATTTTTATAATACTGGTGAATTTTTTAATCGATACAGCAATGCTATTTTTACTCGTGAACGTACTGCTATATATGTTTCCAAGTAAAAACAGATCTCACAACTGCTTGATATCAGAATGTCCGAAATGGTATCGAATCTGAAACCTCTAATTCCCATAGCTCCAACAACTAGTTCACGAGTAAACTTTTTGTTAGTGATTTGCCCAATCGAATGCCGTCATAGAAAATATTTTTCAGTTTGATACGAGTTGATTCGAATCAAGTAAAATCTGATTCGAATCAGGTTGTTAAAAGACGAAAAAAATTAGGAAATTTTCGAGTAGGTACTTCTCTACTTTTTATATATTTTGCATACTTTTAATTTCCCATTATATTTTAAGTTCTGCATCATAGATTTTTTTAACTTTTCGAAGAAGTTTATGTTTTCATCAAAAAATCTGATTCGCTAATTTTATGTTTTCTTGACGTTTTAAGCCATTCTGAATCGAATGAGACCAAATTTGGAAAAAGTATGTGCGTGTATGTGTGTGAACAGTTTTTTTGCCATAAATCGACGTTTTCTGATAAACGGCTGGGGTCGATTTTAAGAATTTAAAAGCCATTCAATATACATACTTCGATGAGGACTGGCGTTTATCAATTTTGCGCGACGATCAGCCAATCCGTTTCTTTGTAAATAGCATTTTTGACGGTAGATACCATATAGTCTTACAGATCATACTAAAATAATACGGCTCTACGACAAGTCGTTTAATTTTAAAAATTCGTCAAAGTTTGCAAAAAGTAGTTTCGTTTTTTTGGCGTTTGTCAAAGACCTTTCATCGACGTTTGCTCAAAAACGAAATTTAAAAGCCATTTGATGTATGTCGATGAGGGTTATCGTTTTGTGCGACGATCTGCCAAGCCGTTTCTTTGTAATTTGGAAAAAAGTGTTAAACTTTTTGTCCACGTTTAAGCTCATACTACTGAATCAATTTATAAATATCAAAAACTGTTCGAAAGATATTAGTTGGAAATGATACTGATTAGTTTTAAGTGAAAATCCACCGATGCGTTTTCTTGTAATTAACTGTTGAAAAAAAATTGAAGCCGATTTTTATGAAACTTTTTTTGGCGATACATATCATGGTCTTATAGAACTTACTGAATTAGGGCCTTACGATAAGTAGTTCAATTTTAAAAATTCATCAAAGTTTAAGAAATTAAGTAGATTTTTTACGTTTGTTAAAATTGGAATTATTAATAGTTAATTGGAAATATTAATATATAAATAATTAATTATTTACTTGGTATAACGATCGAGTACTTGGTCTTAATGAACATACTAAACCATTAAAGTCCTACTGGTTCAATTATTGAAAAATATTGATTTTTGGAAATTTTCGTTTAGAAAATACGTGTTCTCTCGTTTTCAATTATGTGCAATAAATCCACTCGGAACACTTTTAATCACTCAAATTATTTTTTACTTCCCGTAGGGTAAGTTATAGTAATCGCAAAAAAATCGAAAATGAAAATTTTTATATATCTTTACGTTTCAGAGGTTTCTGAACATTTTGGCATACCTTAGAAAAAATGGATGTATGTGTGTGTGTGTGTGTGTGTGTGTGTGTGTGTGTATGTGTGTGTGTATGTGTGTGTGTATGTATGTATGTGTGTGTATGTATGTGCGGATACAAATTTTCGTCGACGATTTCGGGAACACGGATCAACCGATTTGAATAATTCAAAAAGCATTCGATTCGTATTGATAAGGAGACGTGCTGATTAGTTTTTGGCGAAGGCAGGTCTAGCCGTTCCGAAGATACGGGGCAAAAAGTGCCGAAAACGGTAACTTAGTTTTTAAGAGAACGGAGCGTCCGATTTTAATAATTCAAAAAACATTTTACTTGTATTGACAAGGTGAATTATTGATCAAATTTTCATGAAGGCAGGTCTAGCGGTTTCGGAGATCTAACGAAAAAAGTAAAAAAAAATGCCATTTCGCGGTCAAAAATGATCATTAGACATATGCACATCAAATTATCAGATATTTTATAGAGATTTTAACAATAAGTATGAATTTTGTTTACATTCCTATGGGTTCCGTACCAATGTTTATCCGTTAGACAGCGACGCGGCGCTTACGCGCTTTATATTTTGTTTCTATGCAGTTGCGGCAGTACGATTGCTTTGAAAAAAAGTTCAGATCTTCCAAAATATGTCAAAATAAAAAAAACATTTTTTTTTTAAAAAAAAAAAAAATTTTTTTAATTTTTTTTAGAATTTTTTTTTTTTGTAAAAATTTTTTTTTCAAGAAAAAGTAATTCTTTGTCCAATTTATAGTTTCTCAAAAATCTTATTTTTGCAAAGTAAATTTTTTTCAAAAATGTTAATCGTTTTTGAAAAAATAATAATTTTTGGTACGGGAAGTTCCAGCAATTTGCCTTAAGGCACGATGCCCTAATTGCCTTAAGACAGAATTCCACTTACAGCTAGTTTCTTAATTAAGTCGGGAAGCTCATGTAACTTGCCTCAAGGTAAAATACCAATACCAACTAGTTAATTTTTATATCGTAATCCATAAAATTAACAAATATTTTTTCTATTATTTTTAATATTAGTAATACTGTTACAACAATATCTACTATCGCAGTTGGTGCTAGCCCTGTGTCAAAGTAATTTGAATTACGAAACCGTAAGCGACCCCCTTCAGTTTCCAATATGCTAATAACGGCGCCGTTAGAGAAAACGATATCGTTTTTGCGAAATCAAAACAACAAGACTCTGAAGGAAATTGTCGATCGCTAATGCATAATGCATCCATCGAAGCGAAACAACGACGAAAATACATACGAATCGTTTATAATTTGTCACTGATCGTGTCTCGATCCAGCCTATTCAAATGCCTTGTGCGTAATACGTAATAATATCGACTGAAGGTATTGATAAATTCAACTAAGGTTTTATTGATTTTTACTTAGACTTTTCACTGTTTTGAAACTGTACATTGAAGAGGTTATCATAAGAATATTTGCTTACATTTGTTCCTTGGGAAATTTAATTTATTTAATGACTCCTCTCAATTCTCTAATTAATTTTTTCCTCTAACTTTAAGAATTGAAATTGATTCTTCAATAAGCAGCATATTTGTCATATATTCGGCAGACGACACCGCTTGCATGGTCCGCGGACATCTGAAAGCTCTCGGATGGACTCACATAACACTATTTGAAAGGGGTTAAAAGTATTTGATGAAATTAAATTGGAAAGCATTTCAAAAGTTCCGAGGATAAGTAGTGTTGCGTACATATTCCTATAAAACTGAAGCTACAGGACATCCCGCACTGGCAACTCTATTCTAGGCAGCCTATGAAACGTTTTTGAACAAGCAACAAGTACGCAACGTAAATAATAGTAGAAGACAACAAAGACATATCAATAAAATAAAAAAATACTGAACTTATTTGAGAATATAATTTTTATATGTCATTAATGAAACCAAATCATGCATAGTTAAAAGTATTTTATTACTTAACAAAAATTACAAGTTTCAAATTAAAATACAATGTATTATCTGTTTTCGCTGAAAACAGTACGGTAGAGATGAATCGCGGTTGAGATAAAAGGAAAAGACGGGTTTTTCAAGTAATTCTTGACACATATTTTAGAACACAGCCACTATATTATGGATGGAAAGTGAACTTCGCTCAATTTCAAGATCCCGTCAAATTTGCGGCAACAAATTTTGACGAATAGATTTTGTACATTTATATTTTCTATGCACTAAACAAGCCAAATCTACGACTGAGCGCTGTTTGGAAGAGATCTATTTAAATGCTGGCGGATCCGGATATTCAATCAATCATTGATGAAACATGTTGTAGAACACTGGTACTACACTATCGGTGAAAAAGGGACTAGAACTCAATCTGAGAATACCTTGAAATTTTGCGATAGCAAATGCTAATCCTGATTCAACCATGGCTTCAGTAAACGTTCTCTTGACAATGCCTTGGACACCTATTCACTGTGTCAGTAGATAAACAGCCAGTAACATCGCCCGGTTACTAATCAATAGTTCACTTTGTACCGTTTTTAATGCATTTGGATGACTTTGTGCTGTCATATTTGTTATGCACGAAGCAAGCAACATTTGCGTCTGGGCACTGTTTGGAAGGAATCCATAGGTTTGATGAACCTGTGTCAAAAATTACACTAAATATGCTTGCGGAGGATTACTTATAGTAAATATAGTGATTTGATAATGGTTCAGGCATTGTTTCAGTGTCATATCTGAAAGGTAACTGCTCTACTTCCAACCCAACGTTTTGCAATTGCCTACCAACACTTTCAATTTTATGTAATTGTACTCGTTTAAGATTTCCATAACATTATGCAATTGAAGATATTATAATTTTCTGGAATAACAATTTAGAATCTTTATATCACAACATAACAAGCATAGTTGAGAGGATTGCAGTGCTAGTTAAAAAAAAATTGATTATAATATAGATTGGATAACGATGACAAAAGTTTTATTTTTAGATAATTAGAATGTTTTTAAAATACTGGCAACAGATCAGTTTTTGTATGACAATGATATATTTATAATATTGTTCCTTTCCGGTAGTGTCTTTACTACGAGCAAGTCGGACGACTTATTATTGTTTATTTTGTAATAATCTTTCAAATCTCCTAAAAGAGGATCTACAAGGGGATATCCAAATTGAAGGATTCAACCCATCTGCTGAAGAGGCTGATGAAGGAACTGAAACAGCTACGGAATCTGGTGTTGATGTGGTCTTAAATCACCGCCTTTGTGAAACTTTTGTCTTCTCAGATAAAAATCTTGACTCTTTATTTAGAAGATTGTATGAAAAAATTGATGGCGAATATAGAGTTAACAAGTTAAGGTATTCAAAACAAACATGAACAAAGTCATTAATGAAATATTAAGCCGTTTTAAAGAAATGCAAATATTCACTGGAGAATCAATGGATTATGATGGCATGGTTGCTCTTATAAAATATCGTGAAATAGGTGATGAATCTGTTACATATCTGATGTTCTTTAAACATGGTCTAGAAGAAGAGAAATTTTAAAGAATACAATTATTTTATTTATGTGAAACTGCATCTTAATATTACTGTATTTTTGTATTTATTTTTATGAATATTTCTCATTTTAATGGCTTACATTTTATATATAACTCAAATATGTTTTGATCTGTGAATAATAAAATAAAGGTTTTCACAATGTAAAAAAAATAATTGATTTTATAATTAAATACTTCATATTTCTAGCATAATAATACTAGTGTAATTTTGTTACACAATCCCTTATTATATATATATATATATATATATGCTTTTTTAAAAAAAAAAATTATCGAATATAATTCAGATTATAAAGCTCACTTATATATTTTAAGTCAATATTTTTAACTTTGCATTTCAGTTTATATCATTCTTATAAATATTACACAATGTTTCAAATCTTATAAATATATATATATATATATATATATATAATATTATTCATATATATAAATAATATTCATATATATAAATAATATTCATATATATAAATACAAATTACTTCGTATACAAGTTGAAAAATTAAATTGCATATTCATTGATGTAATTCAATTACGTCCGTAATAGTACATGCAAAAAATTAACAATTTTTGAAAAATAACGTTTAATATAGTTTGCATATGCATATGCATTTCCATTACAATTTTCTAAGTATACTACTTGTTTTTGCAATATTTAGAAAATCAATTATTATAATATAAATCATTTTGTTAAGTTTATTTAATTTTCAATTATATTACAAATACTACTTTTATTTCACACGGATTGAAATACGAGCACTATAAATTAGCAAAAATATTTTAAAATCGATAACGGAATAGCTTTTATGAATTATTATCTGGTTATTATATAAATATGATTTTATTATGATTACATTCGATACATAAAAGCTCAAGAAAAAATGTTTGATCATAAAATTTAATTCCATCAGTAATGAGACATAATTGCTCATTGATCTTGCAATAAAGTTTTATAGCAATCATTTATTTCGCGATTTGATCCTTCGGCATTTCTTCATTTCTTAGTTCTACTGCTTCGAGTTAATTTATATGGTTAATATGAAATTAATTAATTCTCGTAATTAACGGATGACCCTTAGCTGTAACTTTTGTTCCTTTGGAAAAAAATGAAATTTTTGTGATTTAAAAATAAACTTCTTTGATTTTGACATGAATTTTTGTAACTGATTGTACTTTTAAGAAATTTTATAATTTAAATAATAATTTATTTTTAATATATAAATTTACTTAACTTCATTAATTCTGAAATCATAGTGATAAAAAATCGTGCAAAATATGTGGAAACAATAAACAAGAATTATGATTAATTTAAACATAGAATATCATTCTCATTACATTATATTTTAATTATAAAATTAAATTTTAACAATGCTTTTTTATTTTCAAGATCTGACTAAGCAAATAAGGACGAAACCTACAACTCTCATTTCGTAATATTAGCTGTTTAATTAACAAATTAATGTATTTATTTACTCGATAGGCAAGGACTAATTGGTAATAATAAAATAATTTGTAAGTAAGTAGGTGTTGTAATTTATACATACAAGCTAGTTTTTTTTTATTATCCAAATACTTTTAATTGTGAATATAGCACATACTGCACCCATGCTCCAATTAAATATTTTGCTATTATTACATGAAAGAGAGAACAACAAAATTAGCGTAGAAAGAAATAATAATAATTTAGAGTTCAAATGAAGAGAAGTTTAGTGTTTTCAATTGTAACATCAAAATGTCCCAGAAAATCTCTTTGTAAATATATTTGCATACATCAGAAGATCAGCAATTTACTAAATGCTCTTGTACTAGCATTTCTCTTTCTCTTTGAAATTGCAATAGGAATATATATGAGAACATTTAAATCGAAGCGAGAGATAAAGTATTAAGAAATACTGTATGGGTGGGTAATAAAGGATTTTTTTTTTATTGAATTTCGAAGTATCGTCCCCAGAAGCTATAATCTCTTATTAAATCTTAAGAACATAAAACATAAAAATAGATAACTTGAGCTATGTTGTTCAATATTATTTTTGTATATAACGTGATTATTATAACTTGCATAACGTAAGTTATAATAATCGAAAAAAATCGTCCACGATTTCGAGAGCACGGATCAGCCGATTTGAATGATTCAAAAACAACTCGATTCGTATTGACGGGAAGTAGAGACGCGTCTGCAGAATTAGTTTTCGGAAAAAGCAGGTCCAGCCGTTTCGGAAATTCGGTGCAAAACGCAAAAGATAGTAGTTTTTAAAAGAAGTTTTGAAAAGAGCATCCGATTAGCATGATTCAAAAATATTTTATTCGTATTGGCGGGACAAAATAACGGCTAATTTTTGGGGAAGGTACGCATTTTTTGGCAATGTTTCGGAAATCCAGAACAAAAAGTACAGAAAGTGCATAGAAATATTTGGGAAAACGGATGACCCGATCAGAAAATACAAAAAATGCATTTCCCGAATTCTCAAATTCACGTATATACTTGAAATAAATGATTATAACTTTGCATTTCAATATTTATATAATTATAAATAATAACAACAAACGTTGCGAATAATATATGTTTAGTTAAAAATTACATCTAAGGACTATCTATGTTAATATTAATCTATGATATGTTTTTTTCTGAATAAAATAACAGTGTAGCAGTTTGGCAAACGTTCCAGAAAATGTAACACAGAAGACAAAAAAATAACATAACTTTAGATTAAAAACTATCCAATATATAAGACGAAATGTCGTATCGATTTTTAATAACGAGAGTTTAATAAGAAATACTTTATGATACAGCTTTGTTTTCGTAGATATTTTTCGCGTTCGATGTCTGGAAAGAAATGCACCATTATATATAATATATAGAGGGTGTCCCAGAATTTAACGTCAAGCCGAAGCAGGGTGCTAGTATTGAACGTAATTGTTCTCAAAAATATTAGAAAAAAAAAATTACGATTGTTGAAAATTACGAGTTTTTAAGTGCAATATATTTTGTACATTTTTTTCAAGGGGCCTCTCGAAGTCAATCGATTAAAAAAATCATAGTTCAATAAAGTATTTATTTGTTTACTGTGGTCCTGGAAGTATTATGATTACGAATCCAAAGCTTAAATGTAGAAAATTAATGCAAATCAATCACAATAACCAAACGGTGGTCCGAAATTCTAGGTTTCTTTTAAAGGCAAAAAAGTGATTTTTTAGATCATTTTAAATAACAGTTTAATTAGAATTTTAATAAATGAATTTATTGCAATATTAAACATACTGAATGCTCTATACTATAGTATAGATCTATATTGATTTTAAACAAATTTAAAAATAAAAAAATATAAAAAATGTAGCATGTAAAAGTATGATAAATACAGTTTTTATATTAATAATGAGGAAATAAGACGATTCATTTGATGTATCATTAAAACGTATATAAATGATTTACATCAAATCATAAATATATTTATATCAGAAACATCACCAGCAACGCTTAACAATTAACGCAGCATAATAAAAATTAAGTGGTCAAAACATTTCCAGCAATAAGTTCGTGTCATTTGTAAGCCTTTGAGCCATACAGAAATTAATTAATTAATTGGTATGTCATTAAGTCATAAGGAATCGGATAAGCGAAGCACTAGTACTTTTAATTGAATTAACAGTTAACGAGGCAGCGACATAAAAGCAATGCGTTTACACATGTGTGTTCTTTTATTGTTGGGGCGAAGTTCTCACGATTCGCCTCCGCGGACTCGTCATGATCTCGAATGCCAAGTAGACGGAGCGACCGTGAGACATGGGTATGCAAGACACATCAAAATAACTAGTGGTGCATGGCATCGTGCCTTAAGACAAATTGCTGGAACTTCCCGTACCAAAAATTATTTTTTTAAAAACGATTAACATTTTTGAAAAAAATTTACTTCGAAAAAATTACATTTTTGAGAAGCCGCACATACATACACACGCACACACATACATCCATTCCAAAATATTCAGAAACCTTTGAAACGTTGAGAAATGCAAAAATTTTCATTTTCGATTTTTTTTGCGATTACTATAACTTACCCTACGGGAAGTTAAAAATGAGATTTTTGAGAATTTTGAAATTCTTGCAAAAATTTGACTTTTTTAAATAAATTGAATTTTTTTTATATTTCAAAATTTTTTTATACCTTGTATTTTTCTGAAAATTTCGATTTTTTTTTTCAAAGCAATCGTGATGCGTAGCTGTTTTAGAGAAGAAATATCGAAGCGCGTAAGCGCCGCATTACAGTCTAACGAAT